TCATTAATAATTACCATAATTCATTATCCAGAATGTCTCCAAGGGTGAGAATATTGAGAAATAAAGGTTTCATCCAAAACTGTCCAATTCTAAAATTAGGAGCAGCAGGCTTTTGTTTTATTGAACTAGGCGACGCTGTCATCTCTTTCTCTGAGCCCCTTTTAAGGTATTAAGTAGTATTAGATTGCCCTCACATAATCCCATTTATTCATTTATGACCCACAACTGTGATTCCTGCTTTTCTTTATATCCAAACTTTCTCACTTTGGGAAGGGTAATTAGGTTTGTCTACTGTGCTCATCTAGACTATAGGCATCTAGTTAAGAGGAACCCTTCCCTCAGTCTGCTTGCTTAGCATTTATAGAATCTTGCATCCTATTCCCTACAGGAAAAATGAAAAACTTGAAATTTCTTGCTTCAAAATCATTATGCTTCCAGCAGTTGTGGGGTTTGTTTGTTTGTTTTGTGTATGTATGTTTGTATAGATGATTGTTTTTTCAATACTGGAAATTAAACCAAGGACTTCACACATGCTAGCCAAGCCTTTTACCACTAAGGTATATCTCTAGCATTTTTCTTTTTTGAGAGAGGATCTCCCTGAAATACCCATGCTGGCCTTGAACTCACTCTGCAGCTCAGACAGACCTTGACTTTGGCAATACCCCCACCTTAGCCTCCTTGGCAGCAGAGATCATCGACTTGTACCATCAGGCCCAGCACTTAATAGTTTCACCCTAGTCCTATAACCATTGCATCAGATTAAAAAAGAAAGAAAGAAATTGAGGTGGTCTGTGAAAGGAGAAAGAGGGCATAGAAGCATCCTGTGTTAGCAGATATTGCATAGTCCTCTATCTTCATCTACCTCTCTTGTAACATCCACCAGAAAAACAAGAATATCTAGTGGGGATACTCCTTTTATTACACCATGCTGAATATGAGCACACACTCATTGACCTGTCATCTCAAAATAACATTCTTACCAGACTGGAGATGCTGTATGTGTTAGAAGCTATTTTAGAAAATAGAGAAGCAGATCAAATGTATATTTTACAATGTACAACTAGCATAGGCTTTCTAGCCATAAAATGATGAACTTGACTTTGCTGATAGAGAGGAGTCTTTTCATCCAGCTCAAAGCTATCGTTAAAGAAGAAGAATCTGTTTGTGAGGCAGGGCCAAGCAGCAATCTCTCCTTTTATCCCTGTCCTTTAACTATGAAAATACTTTTTAATATTAATCACATCTAGTCCCATGTCTACTTTCCCTCAGTACATGGCATATGAGAATAGTTTTGTAAGTATTCTGATTCTAGAACCAACAGAATCAACATTGCCTAGGAATTTAAAATTGAAAATAAGATGCCTGTTTTAGTTTATAGTTTGTTGGCCTATACTTTCGAGATTTGGTGTTTGCAGACCTTTACTCTCCATACTGTTCCACAGAGACAAAAGAATTGTATATTTTATTTGAAGTTACCACCTTTAACACTAATACCTTAAGATTCTGAAAGGGGGCTAGAAAGATAGTTCAGTCAGTAAAGTGTTTCCTTTAGAAGCACAAGGATATAAGATCTATCCTAGGGAACCACAGAGAAAAGGCCCAGCATAGTGGCGTGTACTTTAATCCAAACACTGGGGAGGTGGAGATAGGCAGATCCTGAAGCTCACTGACTGTCTAGCCAAGCTTCTTTGGGGAGTGCCAGGTCAGTAAGAGATCCTAGCTGAAAAGAAAGATGGACAGTTTCTGGAGAACAACACCCAAAGTTCTCCTCTGGCCTCCACATACACATACACATACACACAAAAGAGACTAAATGGGCTAATACTAATCCAAATGCATGATGTGAAGCAACCCAGGATTTGTTGAAAACTGAAAGTGAATATTTTGATCAAGAATAGAAAGCCTCAAAGAATTTCAGTTTATTTAGAAAAATCTAAATGATGCACAAGTAATACCACTAGGATCAATTTAAAAAGAGAATTCAAACTTGCTGGCTAATAGGGAAAAAGGAAGACTAGAATGCTTTATTTATGTCAGTGCTGCTACCATGAAAAGCTTTGAAAAATAATTAGAAAGCAACTACTGCTGGAGTTCATCTCTTTTACCATACATTATAAAAACCTTAATCTTGTGCTTATACTGGTTCTTGTCAGCCCATAATTTTACCTATTTAAGCATACATTACCAAAAAGGAGGATAAAATTGTGGGTTTCTAAAAGCCAGATGTTATAAATAGAATAGATAAAAACTGTGATAAAATGACTTAAAATGACTTATTAAATGCTCAAAATTAAATGACTTATAAAATGCTCAAAATGACTTATTATAATGGAAATTTTATTTCATTAGCATATTTTCCATTATTTGTAAAAATATATACATATTATATTTTAACCTATTAATTGCTTTTTTTAATTTGGAAACATTTTTTAAGAATACCTGAGAAAATAGGAATGGAAAAAATTTTTAATTTTTTTATTACCCTTTACCTGTTGTATCTCCTAACTAGATAACTGTCAACATTTCTCTTCTGTATATGTTCTATATTTGTAATGCTTTTTACATCAGTGCAGTATTTTTAATTAAATTTTCTTTTTATTTATTCTTTGTGTCCTTCACATCATGTATCACGATCTCATTCATTTCTCACCCCTTTGTACCTGCCCTTGCAACCTCCCCTGTAAAATAAAATAAAATTTAAGAGGAAAAAAGGACAAATTTCCTATTGGAAGCTATAGTATGACACAGTGAGTCATGCAGTAAATCCTTTTATCCATATATCTTTACATGTAAGTGTTCATTGCAAAGAGTCTTTGTCTGGCCGGGTAGTGGTGGCACATTCCCTTAATCCCACCACTGGGGAGGCAGAGCCAGGCTGATGGATCTCTTTGAGTTTGAGGCCAGCCTGGTCTACAGAGCGAGATCCAGGACAGGCACCAAAACTACACAGAGAGACCCTGTTGAAAAACAAAAAACAAAATAACAACAACAACAAAAAAAGTCTTTGAGGCCTCTGGTTTCTGCTGCACTATCTATGCTGGGCCCTCACTGGGACTCCTCTTGGATATCCTGTTGTTGCCCTGTGTCGTGGAAATCCTGCAGCTTTGGGTCTACAGGATTGGCCTCCTTCAGCAGATCTTAGATGGGGGGATGTTGGGGTGGGCCATTCATAACCCTGGTTCTGGGCCTAGGTAGTTGCTGGGTTGGTCAGTCCCGCCAGCTCTCCCCTGTTTTCACCACCAGGGTGAGCTCTCCAGCATTGCCCTGGCTAGTTCACCCCTTGCAGTGATGAGGAAGGGGTGGGACCAATTCTCCCTCTTGCATCCTCAGGGTCTGTTCTCCCATACCTACACCTTCAGGGCCAGCTCTACTGTGTTGCCCAGGCAGGGTGTAGGGGCCACTCTCCTGAGTGCAAATGGTGAGGGCCAGCTCTCCCACCTGCTACTGTGTGTGTGTGTGTGTGTGTGTGTGTGTGTGTGTGTGTGTGTGTGTGTGTGTGTTGGGGACTGATGATGATGACTCCCCCCTGCCCACACCACCATATGGCAGATGAGGGGTGGGGCAAGATCTCCCACGCTCATCTTCTCAGAGGGGCCCATGCCCAGTCAATAGGGTTATCTCTCTGGTGCTGCCCAGGTAAGGTACAGGGTCCACTTCAGAGTGCTGCAACTGGTAAGGAGGAGGTTCAGCTCCCTTGCCACCACAGGTAGCAGGGCAAGGTGGGGCATCTTTCTCTTGCCCTCACCACCACGTGGCAGATGAGGGGGTGTGGCCAGCTATCCCACTCAGGGCCAGCTCACCTATACCTCTGCCAACAGGGTCAGCTCTACTGTGCTGCCCAGGCAAGAAGCAGAGCCCCCTTTCCTGAGTGCTGCAGCTGGTAAGGGGGAGGGTCAGCTACCTTGTCTGTCATATGTTGCAGGCAATGAGAGGCAATGAGGGGTAAGGGAAAGGCGTCTCTCCCCTGTCCACATTGCCATCAATGCGGTATTTTTATTGAGTCCTGACAAGATAGTTCCCCAGATAAAGGTGCTTATCAACAAGCCTGATGACCTCAGATGGATCTCTGGATCCTACATTATGGAAAGAGACAAATGATGGGGGATATCTCTCTGTACTTTGTGAATATGTGTTGCTCTGATTGGTTGATAAATAAAGCTGTTTGGCCTATAGGCAGGCAGGAAATCCAAACAGAGAGACAGGAAGAGAAAGGAGAGGAAAAGCAGATGCCAGCTGCCACCGAGGGGACAACATAGCAGCAGATCGGTGAAGCCATGGAATACGTGGCAAAACATAGACTCATAGAAATGGATTAATTTAAGATATAAGAGCTAGCTAGCAAGAAGCCTGCAGTAGGCCTTACAGTTTGTAAGTAATCTAAGCCTCTGTGTGTTTAATTGGGTCCGAGCAGCTGTGGGACCAGGCAGGATGTAGGAAAACTTCCAACTACAGACACCTGTCTTCTACAAGTTGTCCTCCATCTATCTGTTTATTGGCATGCATGTTATGTGTTACGATATGCACACATACACATACACCCAATGAATTTATAAAATGTAATAACATTTTAATTGTGCTTTTCAAGGGGGAAAATACCAGTTTTTCTTTTATTGGTATGCCAGGTACATTTGTATTACATTTTTCCATTGGATTATGTACATGCCGGTGGGGGGATGTTCACTATGTTGTTTTCTTCATTGGGAAATTGACTTTTTACTTTACCTTATAAGAAACATTAAAGGATTAAATTAAAGGTGCTTAGCTTAATAAAACAGTCATGATTTTCTGTCCTGTTAGTCTTCTACATTAAGTAAGTTTCAGTGTCTTTGAAAATGCTCACAACTTTCTCATTCATTTGATAATACTGCATTTATAATTCCAACATTTGACGTCTTAGAAAAAATGATTTCTATGGCTATGGAAATAGGACTGCTTTCTTATAGCTGGCTAAAAATTAACAATATTAAAGAACATGTATATGTTTATGTCCTTGTTTTTAGGTGGATTATGTATTTACAGATAAGACTGGAACACTCACTGAAAATAGCATGGAGTTCATTGAATGTTGCATTGATGGGCACAAATATAAAGGCACAACTCAGGAAGTTGATGGATTATCTCAAACTGATGGGCCCTTAACCTATTTTGATAAAGCAGATAAGGTAACATTTTCCCGATTAATATTTTACCTGAGAAATCTTTGTAAGCATGCTTTATCCCTACATAGTAGAAATACAGCATTTTCCAGTGGGTGCATGATACAGACCTTTGAATAACCATTTGTACTTTTGACTACACCTTTCTTTTGTTAACATTTTTAGCATTTAGAAACAACTAGAACTTACAAGTAGAATTATAGGAAATGGCATTTGAACAAAACATGAACTTGGCTGTATGTGGATTCACGTATTTTTAAAAAATATCAGCACCTCTAAGAATGTTGTCTCATCAAATCATTAACGTTCTAGTTTTTTCATGTCAAACAAATCAAAGTCTCCTTACACATGAACACTTGCTAGATTGTGCCTTAGATACCTAACTACCTCTTAGGCCATGAAGAAGTTACCACCTTAGGTATAGGTGGTACTACTCTAATCTGGATGAGTTAATACATATTCCAGGGATACAGACTAGGAACCATTAATTTTGTTAGTTGCTAGATATTTGTTTGAGTATTGGGAATTTATAAATTTTCATTAGTTAGTTTCCTAGAGATTTTAACATTCTGTCAATTTAAACCTTTTCTTTGTGCACTGGGTGGTTACCTAGTGATAAATATAAAAATAATAGTCATTTTTCTGTTTCTGTTCTACAGAACCGAGAAGAGCTCTTTTTGCGTGCTCTGTGTTTATGTCACACTGTAGAAATTAAAACAAATGATGCTGTTGATGGACCTACAGAAACAGCTGAATTCACCTATATCTCCTCCTCACCAGATGAAATAGCTTTGGTGAAAGGAGCAAAAAAGTAAGCTTTCTTATACTTCTGTGAAAGTGAAACCATGGGGGGCGAGGGGGTAGGAGTTCATTTAATGTTTTTTCATTTGCTTCAGTAACTCTATCATGTGCCTCTCCTATTATGTAAGTTCAAAAAGAAAATAATGATGCATTGATTTTGCTTGCCTTATTTATACATCCCAGTCACTAGTCCAAACTATCCTATTATTTTATAAATCATGTAACAGTGGCAGCTTTTGGACAACACATGTTCTTGCTGAGTGATGCCAGCAGTTTTGATGTCATTTGGTAACTGACAATCCAGTTTACCCATGAGATTCTAGATGACTAAGTACCTAAAAGGTCACACACTGTGTTTGCTGCAAAATTGGAATTACATTGTCTCCCTCTTGAATTCAGTAGTAGCCAGTCATTGGCTTGCTCTTCGTTGTCAGCTCATCTTGAAAAGGGAAATGCAATTGGAGATTGAGATAAAAAGAGAAAGGCATTTATAAGGATAGGTAAAGACAGCAGAAGAGGAAATTAATTGTTTCTTGAAGATATACAAATCTTTTTATTGTTTTTGATAGGTTTGGATTCACATTTTTGGGAAATTGGAATGGACATATAAAAGTAGAGAACCAAAGAAAAGAAATAGAAGAGTAAGTATCTCTGTGTTTTGATGATTGTCATTTTTTAACCCAGTTGTATACATTAAATGGATTCAGAAAGGAAATAAAACTTATGTACCTATAAATACTGAACTGTATTCTCCCATTTCAGGGTTTTACATAAATACGGTTGGAGTAGGAAAAGCTATTTTTCATAGCTATTTTTCAGAGTATCAAAATAAGGGTTTGACACCAGGCTGAGATCCAGGAATCTGGTCGAAGAGAGAGAAGAGGGATTCTAAATGATCAAGGGCATCAAGATCATGATGGGGAAACCTACAGAGACAACCAAACCAAACTAGTGGGAACTCATGAACTTTAGATCAACATCTGTGGAGCTTCCATGGGACTAGACTAGGCCCTCTGCATAAGCGAGACAGTTGTGTAGCTTGACCTGTTTAAGGGGCCCCCTGGCAGTAGGATCAGGATCCATCCCTGGTGCATGAGCTGGGTTTTTGGAGCCCACTACCTTTGGTGGGATCCCTCACACAGCCTTGAGGCAGGGAGAGGGGCTTGGACCTGCCTCTCCTGAGTGGACCAGGCTCTGCTGACTCCCTATGGGAGGAGTTGGAGGAGGGAATGGGGGCACGGGTTGGGGAGGAGAAGGCTGGAGGGGCAGGAGGAGGGAAGAGGGGGATCTATGATTGGTATGTGAAATGAATAAAAATTTCTTAATAAAAAATGAGGGTTTGAAGTAGAAGTTTCAGTTTTATTTACATGTTGTCTAGTAGCCAGAATGAGTCTTGCTGAACTATCTGTGAAATGTAGATAAAAATATTCACTCACAAGTCCCTCCTTTTTTAACTCTTCTGTATTATTGAATCTAATTAATAGTTCATCCATACATAGACAAATCTAAGCCATCTCATAATGTTGTTATACTCTTTAAACCCTTTTCTGACTTCTTACTGTTTTAAGATAAAATGCTGTATTTCTGAAATAGCACCAGAGTTCCCAGTTCTAAGCCCCTGCTTACTTTGAATACATTATACATATATAGCTTTTCTATCGAGTTTTCCAGAGATTGGAACTTTTAACTCTGTGAACCATGGCTGCCGTGTATGCTTTCATACATTTTCTCCCCTATGCTCTAAAAGTCAGCCCCATTTCCTCATCATGTCATTCTTTTAGAATCCAGCATATACCCTTTTCCATGATACATTCTTTCAGTAGGCCTTTTTTCTGTGCTCAGGTCTCTCCCTTTTGAGTATTTTTGATATAGGTATTTCGTGGACATGGAATATAGTTATGTTCATTATCCTTTGTCTCTTTTATAATATGATAAGTTTTTGGAGAGAAGTCTTTGGCAGATTCATCTCAATTCCTTAGAACCTAGCACATTGTCTAACCCCACAGTAGATACTCCAAAATTACAATCACACTGTGCCCCCTCCAGAGCTGGCTTGGTGAGCCAGTTCTTTGTTTTCCATTCCTATGTAGTCACTCTCTTTATAAGTTATACAGTGAGAAAATAAAAATAACTTTCAAAAAAAAATAACTTTCACTGCTATTATCAGCATGCTCTACATGCAGAGAAATTCCAAAGGAAAGTGAAAGTACCAGTTGTATACAAAACTAGCTCTCCACATCCAAAGAGCAAAGCTTTGCGTTCATTAAGATGTTTCAGTCATGTGCTTTTTCTTATTCAGCATAGTTGACGTATTTCACTTTTTTGTCTTTCTTTTCCTAAAGATATGAACTTCTCCACACCTTAAATTTTGATTCTGTCCGCCGACGTATGAGTGTAATTGTAAAGACCCAAGGAGGTATGCATCTTTAAAGTTTGACTTCCTTATCTTTTTCTACTTAAGGTTTATTTATCAACATTTTGAGGAAAGAAACATTTTATGTAGTTTAGGATTAAGCAGTCTTGCAGATTTTACTGAAACAGCACCTCTATATCGCCTAATGGTCTGGAATTACCAATTTAGAAGCCTAGAGTTCAGAGACTGACTGGTTTTCAATCCTTCTCTGACCTCTCTTATTCTCTACTGCTTTATACTCCTCGGAAGCAAGTCAAGTAGAGATGTATAATTAATTCAAGTTTCTGGGAAAGGGCATTTTGGTTTCATTCCAGAGCTAAGAATTGTGAAAACTTGCCTTTCAGAGAAATGGGTACCATCATGTCTAGGCTCCTCAATGTCTTTGGAAGTCACTATAGTAGTTTGCCTTCTGTTCAGATTCTGAAAAACCCGTGGGAGAGCACTCCTACTTTATTCGCAAGCTCTCAGATGTATGTATATGTGTGCACATGTGTTTCTTTGGCCTAAGAGGTTTATTTTCAAAATATCCTTGATTTATTTTAGTATTAATTTTCTGTTGCAAATTCTTAATGAGAATAGGAGAATAAAGACAAACCCATAGAGAAACATGGTTCACTATACTCAGGCTTTCTGGGATGACTGAGAAGTCATGAGATTTGTTTTAGTATATCTCCATGAAATTTGTTTATGACTTAAATATACTTCAGATGTGTGATTAGAAATGAAACATTTAGCATTTAAATACTTACTACTTTTATATGTGCACATCTATACCCATATTCTTCTGCAAATGGTAAAATGCCTGCAAAAATGATATGCAAAGGTCAGTGGTCCCAAAGCTACACTTTTTAATTTGCTCAGCTATTTGCCTCATAAGAATAAAGTATCTTTTAATGCTCAACAGTACATGATCTAAAACTGTACTTATAATATCAGCATTCTACAGAAATATTTTCAAGTTCCCAGTATAACCCATAAAGCAAGTGTTCTTCTGGTTAATTCAAAATGCATTCAAGCTGTTGGAGCATGAGTTTGGTTCTTGGCTCTAGGTTGTGATTGGCTGCATTTTCCAAAGATAAGTCATCTGGAGTTCATTGACACAGCCTAGCAGTCCACGATTTACTGGGAGAAACTATAGCAGGGGTGCATGTAGTAATATCTAGTTTGTGTATTGTGTCTACAATGTTCTGCAGAGATGGTGATTCTTCTTCTGACAAACTAAAGCTCTAGATATTTCATTCCATTTGAACATTGCAAGACAGATTCAAAAATATATAGCAGCTGCATGAGAGAGGCCATCTTAACAAAGTTACCTCTTCTTTTTTTTTTTTTTTTTTTTTTTTTTTTGGTTTTTCGAGACAGGGTTTCTCTGTGTAGCTTTGCGCCTTTCCTGGGACTCACTTGGTAGCCCAGGCTGGCCTTGAACTCACAGAGATCCGCCTGGCTCTGCCTCCCGAGTGCTGGGATTAAAGGCGTGCGCCACCACCGCCCGGCCAAAGTTACCTCTTCTTAAAATCCTAATACCAGTCTTTAAATTCTAAGTTGAGTACTTTGATTCTTTATTTTAGGAGATATACTACTTTTTTGTAAAGGAGCAGATTCATCAGTTTTTCCCAGGGTGCATAACCATGAAATTGAGTTAACGAAAGCTCATGTGGAACGTAATGCAATGGTGAGTCTATGCCCCTCCCTTCAATAAGTAAATGGAGAAATACTGGATATAACTATGTTTATCATTTTTAAATAGATGTTAAAGTTAATTTTAGTTTATTTTATAGTCTATTTCTTGTACTTGAAAATTTGGTTATATTCCTATATTCTTTATTTTAACATAAACTATTATTCTAGATCAATATTGTGGTCAGAACTAGTACTTGGTGAAGATGTTTTAAGGATCTTTTCAAAAGAGCTATTATTTATTTAGAACTTGACTGAATGTTAACTTTTTAGTTGCATTCTGTTCTTTTTTAAAAATTAAATGTGTCAGAATTTCTCTTGTACAGATGGATAAAGCAAATGCATTTCAAGAATATGACTGGGGCTAGAGAGATGGCTCAGCAGTTAAGAGCATGCACTGGTCTTGCAGTTGACCCAAGTTTGGTTCTCAGTACCTACAGTAGGTAGCTCATAACTACCTGCAACTGAAGCTCCAGGAGATCTCATGTCTCTGGCCTTCACAGTCACCTGCACTCATGTGCACATAACCATACAGAGACATACACTGACACACAGTCAACACATAATTAAAATAAATCTTTATAAGAGTATGACATTCATTCAGCTATTACAGAGGTAACTGTAGACCTTCTGCTTTGCTTCTAGGATGGGTATCGGACTCTTTGTGTAGCCTTCAAAGAAATTGCTCCCGATGATTTTGAAAGAATTAATACACAACTAATAGAGGCAAAAATGGCCCTACAAGATAGAGAAGAAAAACTGGAAAACATTTTTGATGAGATTGAGACAAACATGAATTTAATCGGAGCCACTGCTGTGGAAGACAAGTAACTAAATACTCTTGCTAATTTTTTTTGAAGTTATAATTACATCATTTTCCCCTTCCCTTTTCTCCCTCTAAAACCTCCCATGTCCAACTCTACTTTGTTTTCTTTCACATTCATGACTTCTTTTCCTTTGATTGGCTGTTTGTGTGTGTATTCCTAAATATATAAATACCTATTCAGTCCATATAATGTTACTTATATGTTTGTTTTCAGGGCTAACCATCTGGTATTGGATAACCAATTGGTATGCACTTCCCTGGGAGAGACTATTTCTCCTCCCTCAGCCAGCATTCCTTACTTATTTGTAGTTCTTTATCTCTTCCTGAGCTTTCCCCGGGCCACATTAGCATATCTACTGTATCATCTTTGTTCAGGTCTACTTTTGTTATTTTAATGACCAGTCATTTTGGGTAGTATGACCCAGATTAGTAATTTATTCACATATTTTGAGCATCATTTAGCACTGTCATCTGTGTAAAGCTAAAGATTGGTTTACCAAGTATAAAAAAATACAGCAGATTTTGAACTCTAGAAATAGTTTCAAGTTAAATACATGTATCTTAGAAAAAATGAATCCTTTATCATTATAGTTTTTTGAATATTTACTAAATCATATAATTATTTATGTAACTTTTATAAAAATAGCCTTATAGTACATAAAGCAGGATTGTAGAATCATTATTTGAGCTATTGCCTAGAAGAATGGGTAAGATTTTGGTAAATGAGCAAAACAGCACAAGATTTCAATATGCTTCAACAAGCCAGAATATATTTTTGAGTACTTTAAAATAAGATTAAAAATAAGACAAATATGTAAGGTGAGCTCTGTCAGACATTATTGTAGGACTTGGTCAGTAATCTGCTTGAAGTAATGTTTTAATTTCTTACTATTGTACAAGTTTTCAAAGTGTTGTAAATTATGAGAAGGGGACTAGAGAAATGGCTCTGTGGTTTAGCGTACTGGTTGCTCTTCCAGAGAATCTAGGATCACTTCCCAGCATCCGCATGGTATCCATAGTCATCTGTAACTCCAGGCCTGAGGGATCTGATGCCTTCTTCTGCCATCCTTGGGCACCAGGCATGCACATAGTGTACAAATATATATGCAGAAAAAACAGCCATGCACATATAATACATTAATTAAATTTTTAATTATGCAAAAAAATCACAGATGTATCCAACCAATTGAAAGTATTAAAGTTTTCATTGTTTTTATTTTATGTTAATATTTATTTATTATTATTTGATACTTTGATACATGTATGTAATGTAATTTAGTTACTTCATTCCCATTAACCTCTCTCATCCTAGTCTTGCTCCCATTGACCCTCTTTTTAAGAACAAGTTCCCCTCCTATTTTTATGTCTGCCTCCTTGTCTGTCTGTCTTTCTGGGTTTGTTTGTTTGTTTGATTTTTGTTTTTTGTAACCCATTGAGTTCAGTTAGGGTTGCTTGCATAGGCATGAATGGTATGATCATTTACTTGAGCATGGGCAATTTACTGGTGGCTGTGCCACTAAAGAAAATGACTATCCTACCTCATCAATCACTAATTGCCAGTAGTTCCTCAGAGAGTAATTATGAACTCCTTCCCCACCACCCATGATAGAATCGTTGATAGATCTCATCTTGTGCAGGTAAACCAATCTGCTATGAATGCCTGAGTGTAGTGGCCATGCCACGTCCAGAAGATAACAGTTCAAAGTACTCTTCCTCTGGATCTTATATTCTTTCCATTCCCTCTTTCATGATGTTCCCTAAACCATGGAGGGATAATACAAAATTCTTACTAAGTCTGAGCTGTCAACTGTCACTTATTTTCAGCACTTTGACCAGTTATGAATTACTTCAGTAATTATCACCCACTGCAAAGAGAATCTTCTCTAACCAAGGTCGAGAGCAGCACTAATCTATGAATATAAACATAAATATTTAAAAGACAGTTTGAGACCATTTTGGTTTATTTAAAAAAAAAAAAAAACAGTAGGTTACCTCTTAGGGCCTAGGACCTCCCCAGCTACAGACTTTTGGCATGAGTTCCTTTCCATGGAATGGATCTCAAATGCAATTTTTTTAAGATTTATTTATTTTACATGTATGGGTGTTATGCCTACATGTGTGCCTGTTGGAATACATGTATGCAGTGCCCTCAGAGGCCAGAAGAGGTTCTCAGATCCCCAGGAACTGGAGTTACCGACAGTTGAAAGCTGCCATTTGGGTACTGGAAATTGAACCTAGGTCCTCTACAAGAGTAGCCAGTGCTTTTAACCACTGAGCCATCTCTCCAGCTCCCTCAAATACAACTTTTAAAAAACAATTGGTTACTCCTATCAATCACATTCATGATATATTGCATCAGTGGACACATCTTACCTGGCAGGTTGGTTTGTAACTCAAAGGATTTATGGATAGATAAGACACTTGATAGCTTTTCTCTCCTAGCAGCCTATATAACACCTTCAAGCACACTGAAAGCTAGCAAGCAGGGAGGAAGCATACAACTCAGTTCTAGCCTTGATTTCTCTGTCCTGCAAGCATTGTGTATGGTATCTTCAGCCCAAGGGTTTTACCATCTAGTCCTGATAAGCAACCAAGAGTCATGGCAAGAGCTTGTTTTGTTTGGGGATCTCTGGGGCCTCACATTCACAAGGAAGGACCTAAAGAGATGGCTCAGCAGTAAAGAGTACTGGCTGTTCTTCCAGAGGACCAGGGTTCCAGTTCCAGGTAATACAGCATCCTTTTCTAGCCTCCTCGGACCCTGTGTGCATGTGGCACACAGACGTACATGCAGGCAAAACACCCATACACATATAATATAATATATAATATAATGTAATTTAATGTAATATAATTTTTAAAACTTACAGAGTGCCATTTAGCACTTGGATTTTCATTTAATAACCTGTGGCTTGTGGAAGCACCATTACCCCCCCATTCAAACTCATTTTTTAAACATCACTTTACAAAACATGTGGCTACAAAACACCATGCAGCTATATTGAAGTATTCAAACAAGTACTTGCCAAAACCCAATGTCTGCACATCTAATGAATTTCTATATGTTTTTAATTATATTTTATTATTTAGCTTATAAACTAGCAAGTTCCATATGACTTTTTTCCACATACCCCTTTTTTTCGTTTACCCTCTTGCCCAATCTCTTTATTCATCCTCATCTTCTCTAAAACCTTTCCATCTTCAATTTCTGTCCAGAAATTTTTTTATGAGTATCATATTTTTATTTTTAAGTGTGTGTATGTGTGTGTGTAAAATGGGTGTGAGGGAATGAGAATGCCTTGTATTTGGGAGTGCCCATGCAGGACAGACATCTGATCTCTTGTAACTGGGGTTGTTACAGGCTGTTGGGAGCCTCCTGACACATGTACTGGAAATCAAACTAGAGTCCTCTGAAAGAGTAATACATGCTTTAAACCCCTTACCATCTGTCCAGCCCCTCCTGAAAATTCTTTTAACGTATATTACAAAAAGTTAAGAAGTTTCATTGTAATACTCCCATACATGCATATATTTTAATCATATTCTCTGCTTTTATTGCTCTTTCCTACCTCCTGTGTCTCTTCTTTGCCTTCCTCTTAACAAAATTTCTTTTGTAAAATTTCACTGATACTCTGGTGGCTGAAAGGAACCCAAAGATTGTGTCATTCTTCTATCTTTACCTTTTAGAATTATTCTTAAATTCTCAATAAAAATGATTGGGTTTCCTTTATTTATTTATTTACTTACTTTTCTTTTTATGAGACAGGCTCTCAACTGTGTGGCCCTGGCTTGCCTAGAGCACAGTATAGAGAACATGTTAGCATCAAACTCACAGAGATCTACCTGCATCTGCCTCCCATGTGCTGGGATTAAAGGCAGGCCACCATACTGAGCAGCTTTCCTAATATTAAAAGCTCCTCAAAGATAGAAATTTACTCACAGCCCCTATATCTAATTAGAATGTTTTAGCTCTTTCCATTTGGGAACAGGTTAAGAATTTGTGTGGTTGACCAGGCATGGTGGCTTATGCCTTTAATCCCAGCACTTGGAAGGCAGAGGCAGGGATCTCTATGAGTTCAAGGCCAGCCTGCTCTATATAGTGAGTTCCAGAACAGTCAGAGTTGCATAGTGAGATGTCATTTAAAAAATGCACTTAAAGTGGCAATGAATACAGACATTTGGTGAGTTTCTGGATATTTTTGCTTATAGTTTCAATTCTTATTCTGCCACTGGTTACCAATTACCTTAAGAAATATGAAATTTTCTGAACTTCATTGTTTGAAATTCAATTTAGTAAGAAATAAGAAAAGCTTTGCCAGACAACACAACTGTGATAAGAAGTCAAAATTCTAGAATTGCATTGCTAGTGAGCTGTAAGAATGCTTGCTTCAACAGATCTTCTTCTGTCAAGAATTTTAGAGGTTAACAAGATTTCTTTGTGTTTGTAGGCTGCAAGATCAGGCTGCAGAGACCATTGAAGCTCTGCATGCAGCTGGCTTGAAAGTCTGGGTGCTTACTGGAGACAAGATGGAAACAGCCAAATCCACTTGCTATGCCTGCCGCCTTTTCCAAACCAATACTGAGCTCTTGGAACTGACCACAAAAACCATTGAAGAAAGTGAAAGGAAAGAAGATCGATTACATGAATTGTTAATAGAATATCGTAAGAAGTTGCTGCATGAATTTCCTAAGAGCACTAGAAGCCTTAAAAAGTAAGAAAGTTAATCTATTTCTTATTTATACATTGATACAAATGTAAATAACGGATGCTTTGGCAGAAGACTCGATTTGCTGTAATTTATCATTCCCTGTTGATGTTTTATTCTTGTAAGTTAAAACCTTCCCCAGAGGACTTGGTTAATGGTCCATTTGAGATCATTTGTCACTTTATACCTCTCTTAATGTATAAGAAAATTAGATTTCTCAAGATTTCGTGTGAAAGCTTGTTTTTTTGTTTGTTTTGGCAGTGCTGTAAATTAAACCTAGGCCCTCACACATTCTAGGCAAGCATTCTACCACTGAGTTATCCCAGCTCTTGGTTTATAATTCATGTGTACACGAAAGCATAAAATTGTACATACTAATAGGTTAATGTGATATTTTGATGCATGCTTATACTGTATAATGTTTAAATCATAGCTAAACACACTTTTTCCCAAAGCACTTTTCTTTGTAGTAAAAACTTCCAGAGTCATTCCTTCTAGCATTTTGAAATTTATGTAAATTAGTGTTACCTATAGTCACTCCACTCTACAGATAATCCCCATCCTTATATCCACATATTCTCCCAGCCTTTGGTACACCCTTGTATTCTCAACTTCCATAAGATCAATGCTTTGAGATTCATATGAATAAGATCATATACTATTTGTCTTCCTGTGCCTGGATTGTTTTACTTGCTCATTATATTACACATAATATAATGAGCTCCATGTCATCTATGTAGTTGCAAATGATAGAATTTCATTATTTTGTAGCTGAATAGTATTCTATGTTATGTATGTCCCATTTTTTTCACCTGTTCATTAGTTGATAGATACTTAGGTTGTTTCCATCTCTGGGCTCTTGTGAATAGTGCTGAAATGAACACTAGAGTACATATGTCTCTTTGACATTCATTTTGCTCTTATATATAATCAGTAGTGAAATTTCTGGATTATAGCAGTAGCTGTTTTCATTAAAAAAAACTTTTAAATTAGTTCAATTTCTAAACATTGGCATCTGGCATACAATAACATCAGTCTCTGTAACAGTTTCTACAAATTTTGAGGTCCGAGTGTGGGTTTTCAGTGTGGGTTCTTGTGCCTCAGTACTCCAACGGGAACCACATGAATAAACTTTGATTCTGTCTTTAACAAGAAAAGATTTATGGAGGCTAAGGGTTTCAAGAAAAGCTTCTGCTTCACAACTCAGTGCCCAGAGATAAGGCATCCTTCAGTTCTTCTTGTTGTATAAGTTAATTGCTTGAATTTAGTGTAGCCATAAGTAAGTTGAATTCTTTTTCTGGAATACCACCAGTTGTACCTGCAGTAATTGCAGAGACCTCCTGTAGGAAAGACTATTTCCCCGTTTTTTCCCTGAAAAATTATTTTGGGGGCTGGAGAGATGAATCAGTGATTAAAAGGACATAGAGTACATACTGTTTTGCCAGAAAACCTGAGTTCAGTTCCCATCACCTACATTAGGTGGCTCACAACCACCTATAACTCAAGCTACAGAGGATCTGATGACCCCTTCTGGCCTCTATGGGCATCTGCACTCATGTGTACATACCCACAAACATAATAAAGAATAAAATAAATCTTTAAGGGGGCTGGAGAGATGGTTCAGAGGTTAAGAGCACTGGCTGCTCTTCCAGAGGTCCTGAGTTCAATTCCCAGCAACCATGTGGTGGCTCTCAACCATCCCTAATGAGACCTGGCGCCCTCTTCTGACCTGCAGGGATACATGCAGACAGAACACTGTATACATAATAAATAAATAAATAAATCTTTAAATGTTTTTGTTTATTTATTTGTATTTTATGTGTAGCGATGTTTTATCAGTAAATTATGCACTGTGTGTGTGTGTGTGTGTGTGTGTGTGTGTGTGTGTGTGTACGTGTACATGTGTACGCACGTGTGCTTTGTGCCAGTGGAGGTTAGAAGAGGGCACTGAATTCCCTAGAACTGGAGTTATAGGCAGTTGCAAGCTATCTATGGGTATGTGGGTACTTGGAACTGAACTCAAAACCTCTGCAAGAGCAGCAAGTGCTCTTAATCATTGAGCCTTTCTCCAGCCCTGTTGTCCATTTCTTAATGGAATTCTATTAAGTGTTTTGTATGATTATTCTCATTTAAGCTTTATTAACAACTCAATTAGGTAAGTTTAATTCTCTTTATAGATAGAAACTGAGGCTCATAAAGATAACTTCCTCAAAATCATACAGTTATTAAGGAATTGAACAAGTCTGTATAATTTCAGAGCCTGTTCTTTTTAACAGCTAAGGTTATGCATAGTCTATCTATGTATCTGATGTTTAAATAAGCTTTAAAATTAATAAACCACATTCATAAGGCTATGGCACATTTTAAAACAACTATTATTGTTCTGGTACCTGATAGTGAGGTTGCATATTCATATCAATTACCGATGAGAAATGTTTCCTTTCTTTCCTTAGTGAAATAACATATATGGTCAGTCCAAATTACAATGAATGTTACTTGTCAGTTTTTCTTAGTTTGCTTAGGCTGCTGTAGCAACACCATAGACAGTGAATAGATATCATTCTCACAATTCTAGGTCCAAAAGTTTGATCAGAGTGCCATGATTTGGTGAGTACTTTCAGATAACAGATTATTTTGGTGTCGCTTCTTCAAATGAAAGCAATTGTTCCAATACGTGAACCCAGTTAAACTTAATTCCAAAGATCTTGTCTCCTAATAACTTCACATTTGTGGTTGTATTTCAGAATTTTGAGGGCACAATTAAGTTTATAACAGGCACAAATCTCATCTTGAAGGTCCTGCTCTTATGATTTTATCTAAACCTAATCAACTCTCAAAAAATCCACCTTCTAATATCATCACAATGAGGATAGGCCTTTAATAAGTTTGAAAGAAAATAGGTCAGTCTATAGCAATATGTAGTACTCAATTTGAATAAGCCAGGCATTATGGAAAACTTACCTTATGTTTTTTCTCTGTTCCTGGTTGTGTGTTTAGAATTAGGCATAGTCTTTTCCCAAGTTAATAGGCTTCAGATCCAGAATCCTTTTGCCAGCTTGGTTCCTTTCCTTTTTCCAATTCACATTATCCATCAAGCCTTAGCCAAGCTTCAATTACCACTGTTATTTCAGATCATGTGCCTATCATGTGTATTCAACACCTTAAGCCCCTCTGCCAGATAAGGTCTTTAAATATTAAAGTACTGTCCATATCACAACTTTACCCTGAAACCTTTGGTAATTCTTCATTAGCCACAGGTACTCAGGTCATGAAGTAGGCCTGAAGCAGGGTTAATTTGCTTTCTAGTGTGCCCAACATACATTTTCTCCCTTCACTTCTTTCATCTCTGCCTTAAATGTGACTTCCAAGTGTCTCACCTCACTAACAATTAAGCAGCAAGTGTTCTTAATCATTGAGCCAAGTAACCCCTCTAGACAGTAAACTTTGAGTAGCATTAAAGTAGATAAGTAAAGCTATAGCTATGAAATTTTCCTGTACCTACTGCTTCTACTGGTTTGATTTTCAAAGGGCACCCAAGATTGCTTGAGCAGAAATTAAATGGATGCTCGTTTGCTCTCCTCATTGCAACAGAAAATTGATTGAATTTGGTCTATTGTAAGTTTGTGTGTGTGTGTGTGTGTGTGTGTATTAGTCACTTTTCTATTGATGTAGTAAAACACCACTACCAAAGCAATTGGCAGAAGTTAAGTGTTTATTTGGATGTATGTTTCCAAAGGAATAAGATCTGTGGTGGCAAATCAGAGACACAAAGCAGAGAGAACTAACTGGAAATGGCATAAGGCTTTGAAACCAAAGATGTACTTCCTCTAGCAAGGCCATATCTCCTAGATCTCCCCGAACAGTGCCACCAGCTGAAAACCACGTGTTCAAATGTCAGAGCCTATGGGAGACACTCTTATTCAAACTACCACAGTGTGCATTCAGATTGTGATCCACCCAAATCTCTCCCACCTCTACTACCCCCTCCACCTACCTACAAACCCCATTCTCATGTTCATGACTTTGTTGTTTGGTTACTAGCTTGCTTTGTTAGTTTTAGAGAACTACTCTGTGACCATGGGTTTGAAACTGATTTTTTGAGACAAGGGCTCATGTAGCCCAGGCTGGCCTTGAACTTTTGATCTTCCTACCTCCATCTTGCTTTACATTTGTTTTCTTGGCACCTAAATGCCTCTTAGTCATAGTTAGACATGAAAACTACCTAAGGAATCTTCGAAATATAATTTGCAGTACCAAGTTGTGCCCAATATTTTCTTATTTACTTGGTCTACAAATGGAACCAGGCATGGACAATATTTTAATATAGGTAGGCCTGGGTTAAGAACCTTTAGATGATATAGAATAGTATTTATTTAAATGACGTATGTATTTATATAATGTTCTTTTGGGGGGGTTGTTTGATTTTTAAAGCTGTGTAGCTCTGGCTGTCCTGGAACTCACTTTGTAGACCAGGCTGGCCCCAAACTCAGAGATCCACCTGCCTCTGCCTCCTGAGTGCTGGGATGAAAGGCATGTGCCACCACTGCCCAGCTATATAATGTTCTTCTGTTTTGCCCTATTTGAAAAGCCATGTTCTATGGATTGCTATTGTCATTCAGGCAAAGATACTGTGTTTCTTTGTCCCTAAGTCATTTGATCTTTTGTTTACCTAGAAGTTTCGAGTTAACTGATTATTTATCTTCATATCGACTTTTGCATCATTTCACAATAGTTTGACTAATTGATCTGTAGTTCAAAAGACTCATTTTAAATTTTTTATAGAGTCAGACTGCACAATCACCTTCATTTTTATACATTTTAGAACTTAGAATTAACTGTGGGCAGTCCTTGCCCCCATGGCACTATTAGCCCTTTGTGCTCTGTTATTTCTGTTAATAGGCAAACTTGGTACAATCCACTTTGTTCTCTTCCTCATTTCTCTACTGAAGTTGACATTATCAGTTACATCCTCCCTAAAACTCTCCTTCTTAGGCCAGTGAAATAGCTCATCAGCTAAAAGCACTTGCTATAGAAGCCTTATAACCTGAGTTCAATCTCCAGGACCAACAGTAAAAGGAGTGGGCCAATTCCAGAAAGTTGCCCTCTGACCTTCACACATGTGCCATGCATGTGCATATGCATGCACACACACACACACACACACACACACACACACACACACACACACACAAAAAAAAAAAAAAATTTTAAAAAAACACCAACTGTATTTCTTGATTTCTGTGATATCCACCAAATGCTGACATTTCCTCCTTCTTGGGAATCTAGTATCTTCATTTTCTCCCTAATTAAAGAGCTTTTCTAACCAAAAGTCACTATTGTGCTATCATTAGAGGCATTAGAGGCAGTTTATTCTTTGGGATGAATAGATGAAGGAACTAGAACTGGTGACTTGTCTCATCTGGGATAGTCACCTCTGTGATTAAGAAACTCAAAATCAAGCAGGGAGTTGTGGTGCCTGCCTATAGTCCCAGGACTTAAGAAGGGGAGACAGGGAAATCAGGGAGTTGGAGGACGGCCTCAGCTACAGAGAGAGTTGAAGGACAGCCTGATATATGTGAGACCTGTCTCAAAACAAAATAAAATCAAGGTGTTAATTCTGATTATATAATAGATTCAAACACATTTTTATATCTTTTTCAGAGCATGGACAGAGCATCAGGAATATGGATTAATCATTGATGGCTCCACATTGTCTCTCATACTAAATTCTAGTCAAGACTCTAGTTCAAACAACTATAAAAGCATTTTCCTACAAATCTGTATGAAATGTACTGCAGTGCTCTGCTGCCGGATGGCACCATTACAAAAAGCCCAGGTAACTGGATATTAGTTAATTTTCCATTCTGGATGCTCTTCACATATCTCATTTCTCTCCCTGGCTTTTCCTTCTTTGTGAACAAACTCTGCAGTCTCTTCCAAATCATTTTAATTTTCTTTGAAGTTTAAATAGGGATTTTATTTGTAAACATTGCTTGTTTAAGTAGAGAATAAGAAAAAACTTTTAAATAAAAAAAGGAAGAAATGTTCAAGTCTATAATAAGATGAAGAAATAATAAAATCGCATGCATATGCCTTTGTTCTATGCACAAATCACTAGTATTCTCCTATGATACATATGCTTCTTCATTCAAATTATTTTAAACCTGTACTGTACTTTGTGCCCTCAAATTTGCTGACCAGTTCTTTACCTTCTAGACTTCTCAAATGAGTACTTAGTTCCTACTGCCTCTGCCCAGTGTTCATTCCTCCCCTTGGCATCATTAGCCCTATATATCCTGATCTTTCTTCTCTTGCTACTCTGCTGGCTTGGTTACAGATAAACCTGGCTCAATTCCTTAAACAATATTCTTTTCCTTGTTTCTTTACTACAGTTGACACTATCATTTACATTCTCCTCAAAATCTTCCTTGATTTGTGGGCTTGCCCAAAATGCTGACATTCCCCCCCTCTTTGGCATTATAGTATCATTTCATTTTGTTTTATCCTGTATTTTTAGATTTTTATTTTATTTTTATGTGTGGGAGTATTTTGCCTACATGTATATCTCTGCACCCCTTGGGTTCCTGGTGTCTCCAGAGGCCAAATGAGAGCATCAGAACCACTGAAACTGGAGTTACAGACATTCATGAGCTGCTATGCTGGTACTGAGAATTAAACCTGAGTTCTCTGAAAGAGCACCCAGTGCTCTTTGCTACTGAGCCATCTCTCTGGCCGATTATCCTGTATTTTCTTAATAGTTTTCCTTTTCTATGGTAAAGTTTTTCTTTGATTTTCACATTATGGACTCTCTCTCTCTCTCTCTTTCTCTAGATTAACTCTTGATTTCTCTGCCTTCCATTGATAAAGCTTTAGTCCTGACTTTTTCTTAAGAGTATGTTTCCTGGTTCTAGCTGTCTGCTAGACATCTCCATTTTGATTCTCTACTATCACATTAAATTCTAGTATCCTAGACAGATCTTACAGTTTTCTTGAATAGTTTGTTTCTTCTCTTGTTTTACTTTACTCCTATTACTAGGGCCATTTTTCTTTGTTCCCTACGTCTCGCATTATAGACTGTTTGTTCTACCTATTTTTTGTCATAGCTCTCATTTTCATGAAACTTTTTGATGTTGCTCATATTTTTTCTCCTACCCAGAACATGGGGTATCTTGTGGTTCAGGCTTCAGTATATTTTATCTTTGTCACTATAGTTACTTTTTCTTGACTATTATGTTTATGTCTGAGCCATTACCTTCTGTCCAAATCTTTGGGATTCTGTTACAAACCCATCTTCTTGGGTTACCCTTATTGTCCCAACTCTGCCTTCTCTGCAGCTTAGCCATCATTTTCTTTGGCATCTCTTACTATTTCCATAACCAAGGTTACTATGGTTTTAACTTTCTAAACCGAAAGCCCTTATTTATTGACTACCCTCATGCTTTATTCTTGTGTGTGGCTTTAGCCATCAAAGTGTGTTTTCTAGTACATTTTACTAGTTTTTCCTACTTGTTTCTTCTCACTTCTTTCCAGAGCCATACATTGAGTAGCTCATTAAACTTCATTTGTAACCTCCTAGCTTCCCTTTATTTCCTCTTCATTTTGTTTTCTACCAGCGCCTTCTGTACTCAGCTGCTACTTATACAATATCCTTCCATGTTGATATAAATCCAAGATCCATATGTGAAAATTCATTGATCTAGTCACACCAGACCTAGTGTATAAATGTTTACTATTCTTACTTCCCTGTGTGCCTTTTGTATATCATTCCTTTTCTCTGGGAATGCCCTATTCTTTCCCTACACACACAAATTTTACTAGTATTTCATTATTTAAATCATGATTTCTTCTGTAAAATAATGCCTAATTGGTGAATACTTTCCTCTTCTTTGATACCATAGCTTTCTTACATGGAATTTTTTTCTTACATTTATTGATGGATTGATTGAGTGGTACATGTACCTTGGTGCACATGTGAAGATGAGAAAATGACTTGCAGAAATCTGTTCTTACCCTCCTCCATGTGGGTATCAGGAATCAAACCTGGGTCTTCATACTTATTAGCAGGTGTCCTTACCCACTGAGCCATCTCACTAGCTTTCATATGGATAATTGGATAATGTCATATACTCCGGTACAGATACCATATTTTGTTATCTTTATGATTTAGCTGGTTATCTAATATGCTTGTGTTTATAACTAATCTGTTTCATTTGCATGCTTTTCAATGACCATACCTCTTCTTTTTTTGTATTAGTATATTGTTTTGAATGGTATATTTTATATATTTATACTTGTTGAAAAAAGCTATTTTTAGTTAAATTGCCTCTTTTTCTTGAAAGCTACCTACAGTTTGGAGAAAAACTCTTAATATGGGTAACTTTAAGAGATTAGGGGGAAAAACCTACATGTTTACCTTACCAAATCATTCATGACTTTATTGTCGGTAACCACAAATCCTTTTATTATTTTCTACAAGGAAAAATTATAATCTTTCAATCTAACCTATGTTTTTCTTGCGAAGGTGGTCACCTTGAGAGTTGTATTGCCTTCCAGGTTGCAATTTTTAATCCTTGAGGTGTAAATTATTGCTGCACATAGTATACCAAGTGCAAATTACTTAACCGTTATTATAGCCCGTCGAAACTGAATTGAGTTTGGATTCTCTAGCTTTGTCCTTAGTTCTTTCACTTACAGAAATAAGAGATTATTTCTGACAATCTTTTGTAAAGTTCTTAATAGGAACCAAATTAATGAGAGTGGTCAGGCAAAAGCTAACATTTCACTTCATTTTTGTGTTGAACGGTATTGGACATGTAGGATTTTTTAAATGATTTTAACAAATCAAAAACTTACTGAGTCTTATTTAAAGAAATATTATGTTCCTTGCATAAATTATTTGTAATCACATAATTTATATTGAATATGAATTTTATTTATGCTAACCAGCTTGAGAAAGCAGGGGGACAAACTTTATGGAAAGCATTATTTAGCAGCTGAAACAAATATGTCATGTTAAGGCTACTAAGTCCCAAGGAGTCTTGAGAGTAGATGGCAAACGATGACTATCTGAAACAGTGGAAAGGCAGCTTTGACCTAAATATTTTCCCTAAGTAACTTTCCCAGGAGGTTTTGGAGATCTCTGAAGCAGAAGTCATTTAATACCGTCGGCGACCATTTTTTATTCAGTATTTATCCTGAACACAGCATTGAACCACACTGCATTGTTTTCACATCTGGATGAGTTACTATTTGGAAAGTGATGGAATTTGTAGCATTTTTCTACAAATCTCACCTCCTTTAAGATGCCCCCTTTGAAATGTAGCTGTCTGTAAGAGAAAACAAACCATATTGGATAGTGAAGAGAGTTGTAATTGGCAGCCATATAGGTGCACAAGATTAGCATAAGTTCTATAATTACCATTGGGGTATTCTTAAGGAAGATAGGAATGTCTTCATAAAGAAGGGATTAAGAGGTAACCAAAACACACTTCTGATTTTTTCATTCTTCTTCTGATGGCTTTGTACATGTTACCTGAAATCCAATTTATGGCCTCCACTCTCACATATTCAACAATATAATCTAAAAAGAACATGTGGAAAGATGGCAAAAGAAGGAAATATGCCAACCTTTAGTAAGCATGGTAGGAAAGGTTTTGAGCAATTATGCATGTACAGACCTAGAAACAAATGGGGTGCTAGTGTTGCATTTTAAATGACTATGTTACTTTGCACCTGACAAGACTCTCACACATTATATATACAAGCTACCTTTCTGTTTGTAAAACCTGCATTTACACTTGTAAATGACAATAAATCCCAGTGAGTTATTACACATTCTGCTTTTGACTTTTCTGTCTCTTTTGTATTTTATGTTTAGATTGTCAGAATGGTGAAGAACTTGAAAGGCAGCCCCATAACACTGTCAATAGGTGATGGTGCCAATGATGTCAGTATGATTTTGGAATCCCATGTGGGAATAGGTAAGAAACATTTAATGTGATGGCCTCTATAAGGTATCATCATCAGTATTGCTTTTTAGGTTAAATCAGTCTTACTCTAGATTGTTTTGGTTACTCGTCTGGAATTTGAACTTGTGAATAATTGTTAATCTAGTGAAAGATTTCTTCTAATAGTGACCATTCCAAGGTCCTACCCATAGTAGCTAGAGGGTATTTATATGTGCCAAACAAAGTGGATTTTTCCTTTTCCTTTTTCTTTTTTCTTTTTGGATTTCCAAGACAGGGTTTGTCTGTGTAGCCCTGGCTGTCCTGGAACTTGTTCTATAGACCAGGCTGGCCTCAAACTCAGAGATCCACCTATCTCTGCCTTTTGAGTGCTGGGATTAAAGGTGCGAGCCACCACCTCCTGACTTTAAAATGGATTTTTCAAACCTTCTTGTGTCAAAATTAATTGAGTAGTTCTTGTTTTGACAGCATGCATGACATTTTATTATTTTTTTTGCACCTCTGGCCAGGCTTCCCACTTTATTATTAATTACTCTCTCTGTCTTTTGAGATTGTTAACTGTTAGAGGTTAAGAAATTGTCACTGACTGGCTCATTTTCCATACAGTGGTATTTATGGGTACCATGGGCTATAGTGTTGAAGTCTTATGTTGACATACACCAACAGCTTTTCTGGCACCTACACAAAGTTTTCACATATCTGACTGCTGTTAAATACCCAACCTAACACCTCAGCAACATTGGGCAATGGATCGGGAGCACATACAGAATTAATATCTTGGACATTATTATAGTGAAGTTTGGATTCCCAAATTCCTTCTCCCATTCAGAAGTAGAATGATTTAACATGGAATTCTAAGTTTTGCTCATTGATTACCCAATGTGGAAAGGGCCTATGGCTCATAAAATCCATGAGTAGCTATTCCGTTTCATACAGTGAAAGGGTTTCACTGTCTTTTCATATTTCCTTTACCACAAAACCCAGACCTCTGAGTTGCCTTAATATTACATCTAGTTTAGTGTTGTGCATAATTAAGCACATACTGAATACCTTAAATAATGTTCAGGTGGATTTTTTCCCTCCACATAATTTTTGCTTTGTGATGGTTGAAATAATGACTCTGCTTACTGTTTTATATTGTACTAACAAATAACTGATCATCAATTAAACATACTTTTATTTGGCGAGTCTCAGTATCACTGTTAAAGCTTCTTTTTATTTTAAAAGGAGTAAATCTAAGGTATGCACTCGATTTGTAATATTTAAACAGTTTAAAAATATAAAAACAGATCAAGCATTTGCTCATTCTATAAAGTTATCACCATACAGAGATATTCTTTCTTTAGGTATTAAAGGAAAAGAAGGTCGCCAGGCAGCCAGGAATAGTGATTATTCTGTTCCAAAATTTAAACATTTAAAGAAACTGCTATTGGCTCATGGACATCTATATTATGTGAGAATAGCACATCTTGTACAGTATTTCTTCTACAAGGTACGTAATCAAATGTTTATAATTTAGCTGTTTTGCAGGGGGTTGTATTTGAAACAGGATCTTGCTATGTAGCCTAGATTTGAATCATTTTATATTTGTTTTTGTTTTTTTAAGACAGGGTGTAGCTAGAGTTTTCCTGCCTGGCCCACAGTCAGGACAAATCTCTGACACCCGCCAGTCATAGCCGCTCAGACCCAACCAAGTAAACACAGAGACTTATATTGCTTACAAACTGTATGACTGTACCAGGCTTCTTGCTAACTGTTCTTATATCTTAAATTAATCCATTTCTATAAATCTATACCTTGCCACGTGGCTCGTGGCTTACGGGCATCTTCACATGCTGCTAGTCATGGCGGCAGCTAGCAGTGTCTCCCTCAGCCTTCCCCTTCCCAGAATTCTCCTCTCTCCTTGTCCCGCCTATACTTCCTGCCTGGCCACTGGCCAATCAGTGTTTTATTTATACAGAACGATATCCACAGCAACAGGGTTTCTCTGTGTAGTCCTGGCTCTCCCGAAACTCACTTTGTAGATCAGGCTGGCCTCAAACTCACAGAAATCTGCCTGCCTCTGCCTCCCAAGTGCTGGGAATAAAAGAATCAAACGTCTTCTGTAACTGGGGCTAACACACACTCCTCCTGTGTCAGCCTCCAACGTGCTGGAATTACAGATGTGTACCACAATGATGAGCTCTGCAATTTAATTTCTGTGAATCAAAACCAAGGCATTACTGATGATATTAAAGATTTGAGATTAATTTTGAAGTCAACTTTATTAAAATATAAGTTAAATATAATAATGTTTTATCCAATAAGAGTGTATAGATCCAGGCCAAAGAGTTGTTTTGTTTAGCTGAGGGTGTATGGATCTTTTTTATCCTTTCAAAGAATCAAGTGCTTGTTTCATTGATTCTATTTTTTGTGTATGTGTGGATATTTTCATTTCATTTTTTTCTTCTATTATTTTTGAGATTGTATTGTGAATATATCATTTCTCCTTTCCCTTTCCTTCCTCCAAACTTCCCATATACCCCTGTTATTCTCTTTCAAATTCATGGCCCCTTTCTCTCATTAATTACTGTAGCATGCATATATTCGTACATACATACATACATATATATATGCATATTTTTTTTTCCTGAATATAGCCTGCTCAGTCTGGATAATGTTGGATATATATATATATATATATATATATATATATATATATATATATATATATATATATATATATATATATATATATATATGTTTTCAGGGCTGACCATTTGGTATTAGATAGCCAATTGGTGTGCTCTTCCCTGGGGAAGACTTTCTCCCACTCTTGGCATTCCTTAGTTGCCTGTCGTTCCTTGTTCATGGTCTTTTTTCCATCCACTTTGGCATGTCTGTTGTTGTCCTTGTTAAGCTGGTGTTTAGATGGTCATGTTGGTTGAGATGCGATGGATGTAGCTTCTGATACAACTGGGAGACATAATCTCACATTGAATTCCCTGATCTCTGGCTCTTACAATCTTTTTCCCTCTTCTTCCTCAGCGTTCCCTGAGCCTTAGGTGTGGGAGTTGTTTTGTAGATGTATCTGTTGGGACTGAGTTCCACAACTCTGTATTAGATTGTGGTTTTCTGTAATGTTATCTGTCCATTTCTAAAACAAGTTTCTTGCATGAGAGGTGAGGACTTCACTTAATCTGTAGGTATAAGGGCAAATGTTTAGAATGTAATTAGAATGTTGATTTAGTAAAGTGGCAACTGTATATTCTCCTCCAAGACCTATGACTTCACTAGCCCTGAGTAGTGAACTGGGTTTCCAGTACCAGGCATCATTTCCCTCTTGTTGAATGTGTCTTAAGGCCAATTAGAGAGCTGTTGGTTACTACCAGGGTGTGTGAGCCACTACTGCACTCTTAGGGTTATTGTGCAATTCTGGTTCTCAATATAGTTCATAGGCCTCATAGCTTGGTAGGACTGCAGGTTGCCTCCCTCCTTTGGAAGCTTGCATGGTACCTTCTGAATGCTATTTCTCAGGGAAGACACATTCAGGTCAGTTTCAACTCGGGCCTCCAGGCCCTTTGAAGTATATGGTTTCTTCAGCAATAGGGACTTAATCCTTCCACCTCTTGGGGACAACCAAGGGCAATAGCAATAGACTGTATGTTTTTGCTGACCAACAACTCAAAAGAGGGCTTCTTATGCCTATTATTGGGTTTTTTGCTAGATGGTCTTTGGCTCTTGGAGGGAGCATTGTTAGCCCAGATGAGAAAATTTCATTTAAACTGTATATGTATATTTATACACAGACACGTGTTTTATAGGTTTGTGTTTTAGGTATATAGTTAACAGTATGATTCCTTATGACTTTTTCAAACATCCTTACTATAACTTCACCTTTCTCCCTCTTTCTCCTGTATTTATCTCCCCCACCCTCCAAATTAGAGCCCTCATTTTTCCCATTTCCCTAATCAGATCACTTGTAATTGTATTCCCCTCTCTATGGCTCCCAAAACAATGGTTCCTCTTTACTTTCATGGCTTCTACAGTTACTCCAGGATATGTACTCACATCTGAAGATTTGGAACTAAGAGCCTCCCATGAGAAAGACAATGATAATTGTCTTTGTCTTTCTGGGTGTAGTTCCATCCATTTACTTTCAAAATTAATGATTTCATTTTTCTTTGCATCCAAATAGTATTCCATAGTGTATATGTACTCACATTTTCATTATCCATTCATTGGTTGAAGGACATTTAGGTTAGGTTGTTTCTATTTCCTAGATATTGTGAATAGAGCAGCAGTAAACATAGCTAAGTATCTGTGGAATAGGTTTTCTCATCCTTTGGACATATACCAAGGAGTCATATGGTATGGTATGTGCTGGGTCATATGGTAGTTTTATTTTTAGCTTTTTGGGGATTTTTCCACACTGACTTCATAGGGGCTTCGCCTGTTTGCAATGCCACCAGCAGTAAATAAGTATTATCAAAAATATAGAAGTGTAACCAGAGGCAGAGCTTTCTGTCCTGTATGCCTGATTATACCCAACAGTCACTTCCCAAATTACCACTCAGAGGCTTATATTAATTATAAATGTTTGGCCGATGGCTCAGGCTTATTACTAGCTAGCTCTTACATTTGAATTAACCCATATTTCTTATCTATGCTTGTCCACATGGTTAGTGGCTTGTTACCTCATTTTCTATATGTCTTGCTTCCTCGGTGGCTGGCTGGTGTCTGCCCTGATTCTACCCTTCTTCATCTCCTTCTTCAATTTGATTGTACCACCTAACCTAACTTATTCTGCCTCACCATTGGCCAAACAGCTTTATTATCAACTGATGAGAGCAACACATATTCACAACACACAGAAGGACATCGCACAGCATGGAACACTTTATAAATTTGCATGTCAAATTTGCATGTCATCCTTGTGCAGAGGCCATGCTAATTTCTCTGTATCCTTCCAATTTTAGTGTATGTGTATTTTTTGAAACAATTTCTCACTGTATAGCCCTTGCTAGCCTGAAACTCCCTATGCAGACTAGGCTGGCCTCAGACTCACAGAGATCCACCTGCCTCTGCCTCTCAAGTGCTGGAACTAAAAGTATAAAAGTGTGTGCTACTGCACCTGACCATTTAAATAATTTCTAACTTTAATTTTTTTGTTTATCTTTGGAATTCAGATTGTACTTGCTTTTCCAAGGCCCTAAAGTACATTCTTAGCTCTGACTTTTCCTCTTTGGCAAGATCTCATATATCTCAGGCTGGGCTTAAACTAAATGTATAGCTGAGGATGCCTTCATGCTGAGTTTATGTGCTGTTGGTGATTGAACACAGGGCTTTACACAGGCTGAGCATGTACCCTACCAAATGAACTAAATCCCCAGCCCCATCTGATGTTTTTAATGCGAATGCTTATAGGTATAAATTTCACTCTCAGGACTACTTAGCCTATATGTTTTGGTATTTTGTATTTTCATTTTCATTCAGATCTCTGATTTTTTTATTCCTTCCTTGATTGATCTATTCATCATTCCATAGAGTGTTTCTTTATTAAGAAATTTTTTTATTCATTTACATACCAAAGATGCCCCTCTTCCCTTCTCCTGCCCCTCTAGCCTCCCCTCCCAACCACCCCCCTTTCCTTCCTACAAGAAAATAAGACCTCCCATGGGGAGGTACATTTAGTAGAGGCAGGTCCAAGCCCCTCCCCCTGCCTCAAGGCTGTGCAAGGTATCCCTCCATAGGTAGTAGCTCCAAAAGGCCTGCTCCTGCACCAGGGATGGATTCTGATCCTACTGCCAGGGGGCCCCTTAAGCAGATCAAGCTACACAACTGTCTTGCTATGCAGAGGGCCTAGTACAGTCCCATGCAGGCTCCACAGCTGTTGATCTAAATTTCATGAGTTCCCTCTAGTTTGGTTTGGGTGTCTCTCTATGTTTTCCCATCATGATCTTGATGCCCTTGCTCATAGAATCCCTCTTCTCTCTCTTTGACTGGACTTCAGGAGCTCGGCCTGGTGATTAGCTGTGGATCTCTTCATCTGCTTCCATCAGTTACTGGAGGAAGGCTCTATGGTGACAGTTAGGGTATTCACCGATCTGATTACCAGGGTAAGACAGTTCAGGCAACCTCTCCACTATTGTTAGTAGTCTAAGGTGGGGTCATCCTTGTGGATTCCTGGGAATCTCCCTATCTCCAGGTTTCTCCCTATCCCCATGATGTCTCCCTCTATCTTGATATCTCTTTCATTGCTCTCCCACTCCATCCCTGTTCCAGCTCAGCTAATGCATTCCCTTATGTTCTCATCCCCCACCCCCTACCCTCCACTGCCCACCCCTCATCCCCAGTTTACTCATGGAGATGTCATCTATTTCTCCTTCCCAGGGCAATCCATGCATCCCTCTTTGGGTCCTCTTTGTTAGCTAGCTTCTCTAGAGCTGTGGGTTGTAGTCTGGTTATCCTTTGCTTTACATCTAGTATCCACTTATGAGTGAGTACATGCCA